ACAGGCCAGAGGTGCAGGGGCCGTGAGAGGCTTCACCAGAGACAGCGGGGAGCAGAACAGGCCGACGAAGTCCACTGCTGAGGTCCACAGGACGAAGTCCACTGCTGAGGGGAGCAGCGGGCGGGTCACCTCCGGGGCAGGCGGGGATCGAACTCATGCTGGAGCGGCCTTACAGCTTCTCAGTGCTGTGCTGTAACCTGCTGCGCCACCAGGGAGGGCCCAGACACGTTTTTGTTTTTTTTTTAATGTCAAGCATCTCAGTTTCTCTTTTGATCACATGACTCACAGAATCACAAGTCAGAGGAGAGACCATTTCTCAATGTTCCCTCCACTTAGAAGTGATCTGTGAAGAGTTTGAACCCAGACACCCAAGTCAGAGCAGTCCAGGGGCCTGTACCCCGCCTTCCTCGTTATCTCGGGGGCAAGAGCCAGACCCTCACTGCCCTGCGCCACCACCCAGCCGTTTTGTTGCCAGAGAATTCTTACTTTAAGGTCCTCTCTGGCCTTGGCCTTTTGTTTGCTCTGGGCACCTGGGCACCCCCAGGGCTCGGGCAGTTTCTGGGCCCACCGCTGGGCCCGAGGACGAGCAACGCACTGCTCCCTGGGGGCGTGCCGCAGCCTTCGGGCGAGCAGACGGCCTCTTCCAGAGCCAGGTGCCACCAGAGTGTCCAGCCGGCCACTGGGAAGTGACTGAGCCGCCAACCAGAGTGATGGCTTTGAGCTCCAGCACCCCCGAAGGTAGAAGGCGAAGTGTTTTGGTTGCTGGTGTTTGTTAGGAGCCGAGACAGTGTGTCCCCAGAGGAGGTACAGGGCTTTGGGGCGCTGGAGTAGGAGTTGACAGGTTCAGGACTAGTCCTTGACAGAAGAAACGGGGACCTGGATCCAGTGACACCCCCTTTTGCCTAGCCGCCCCACCCGCCTGTCCTCGCATCTGTCCAGCACCTGTCCGTGCATCCGTCCACTCACCTGCCCGTGCATCCGTCCACCACCTGACCGTGCATCCGTCCACCACCTGTCCGTGCATCTGTCCACCACCAGCCTGTGCATCCGTCCACTCACCTGTCTGTGCATCTGTCCACC